GGTACCCGATGAAGGGGGGGTTGGGGAGGGGGGTTGCTGTGCCGTCGAGCATCCCCTCCGCTTGGGAGAGGAAAAAAGGGGGGGGGAATTGGGAATAAAAACTGGGAAAAACACTTTTCCGGAGCCAAGCGGGTCCTGCTGGGGGGATGGATCCAGCACCGGCCAACCCCGAGCTTCTCCCCAGCTTTTCGGCTTCCCCAAAACCCCTTTTTTGCTCATTTTTCAGCATCCCCAACTCTATTTTCTTACCCATCCTTCAGCTTTCCCAAAAAGCCCATATTTCACCCCATTTCTAGGTTCACTCCTGTTTGCCCCGTCCCGCTGCGACCCCGGTGGCACCCATCATTTATTCCCTAAATACCCACATTTGGGGGTTCAACGAGCCCCGAACTGCCCCGTCCCGGGTCCAGCAATGCGGAAAATCACCTGCAACAATTCTGCACCATTTTACCAAAGTTTGGACCCAAACCCAGCCCCGAGGAGGCCCCAGTTCCCTCCAGAGGAACCGAGGACGCAAAGGAAAGCCGGGCGGTTTTGCACTCCGCCGGCTTTGATTTATACCCTAAAAAAGCGCCAGGGCTGCAGCCAGGGCACCCCAAAAATGCTGCTCCACTTTTTCCAAAGAAATAGGGATTTATTCAACAAAATAGTGGGAAAATGAGGAGTTTTGGTTGGTTTTTTTCGGCAGGAACCAGCCAGGAAGGGTGGGAGATCTCCATCCCTAAGCCAGGGATGCTGTAGGAGATGGGAATATTGCCTGATTTATGAATTAACTCCCAAATTTATTACCCGGAGCGGAGAAAAAATCAGCAGTTGGGTTAAAAAAGGGAAGAAACGGTTAAAGAGCAGCGATTTGGGGGTGCGCTGGGTGCAAGGATGCATTAGAAGCCGCATCCCCATCCCGTGCCTGGGTTTTCCCTACAGGGGTCCCCTAAATTTTTCGGGTCGGGGCATGTTTTCGGTCGGGGCCGAGCTGTGCGCTGCCAGGGAGGACGGACGGACGGACGCTGCATACCAATAGGTCCCATGACTTTTCGGGCTTGTTTAAAGCCTTTCTTGCTCCCGCTTCGCCCTCCCCAGCTGGTTTTCCCGTTCTCCCCCCCTCTTCAATATGGGGTTTGTTCGCCGTCGGATGACGGCATCCGGATGGGGGTTCGCGGATGGGACCCCTGGGCCGTCAAGGGGGGGGGGGAATGAGGCTACGGTGTTTAGGGGAGAGAGGCTGTTTTGGGGAGTCGTGTCCCCCCCCCCAAAAATCATTTTTTTCCACTTTTCCCCTGCCCTTTTTGGCTTAAAACCAGCGATGAGGAGCCATGCACGTGCACCAGCCCCCATGATGCAGTTTCGCAACTGAGGGGGGAGTTGGCTGGACCGGAGCATCCAACGGAGCTGGGGGTGGGATGCAAAAACCCCCTCCCCTGCAATTTTTGGGGGCGATGCACACGTCTTTGCAAAGCGTTGCATCGACCCGGCCACGGGAGGGCTCCCACCCGCCATGCAATTTTGGGGGGGTGATGCATGCATCTTCGCAAAGGGCCGGACCAACCCGGCTGCCCACCATCGATGCAGGTTTTGGGGCAACGCGTGCATTTTTGCAAAGGGTTGCATCGACCCAGCTGCAGGAGAGCTCCCCGCCACCCCATGCACATTTTGGGGGGCAACGCGTGCATTTTTGCAGAGCATTGCATCAACCCAGCAACAGGAGGTCTCCCACCCA